GACAAGAGAGAATGTATGCTGGCTGATCCCCCCCCCCTGTGCTGCAGTACAACATGCCTTAAAAGTGTCTGCATTTGTGTTTTCATGAAGAAATAAACTTTAGAAGTTCCAAATCTGTATTATGTTTGACAATTTTAAGCTGTTTTGTCAATGTCATGTATCCCAGTGTTCATTTTCTTTGTGCTTTCCATTCAGACTCCTTGAATACAGTTCTTTTGTCTGAATGGGCAAGTGTGTCATGCCTTAGTTTCCTTTGTAATAGGAAGCATTTTGTTTCTCCTCTCATAGAAGACTAGAGATGTCCTTTGTTCGGAGGCCTAACATTAATTGGAACATTTAAAACTCTCCCTATTATCCTAAAAGCAGAAAAAAGAGGCTGTAAGTCTCTGTGTACTTAACACTCCAAATGTCTCTTTCAGAGAGTTATTTTTAACCTTTTAACCTTTTTTTAAAGGTTATTTTTAACCCTAATTAGCTTTGCGGCTGGACCATACATTCTGCTATCAGTGACGTTTCAGTCAGGTCTAGGAATGGGAGTCTATATTTGACATTTTCAGTGATGTGATTGCTCTTAGCAATCATAAAACATGGCGCAAATTTCCAGGGCTCTGACTTGGGAGTGAAACTGGATGTTCCATTTAGACAGAACATTTAAGGTATAGTGTAGAAGGCCATCATTTAAAAAAAAAAGAAAAAGAAGGACATTTATCTATACTTACAGTCTTTACATTTGGGCAAAACCATTGCTTAGTTGACTGCAGTAGATTATATGCGTTTGTCTTGGGATGTGTGGAGTTTAATTGGGTTATGAAGGGATTTATGAGGTCACTCACGTAACATTTAAAAGAGTAGTATTGCAATGTTTTAGTGTTAAACTGAATACAGTACAAAGCAATGTTACATTCAATTTCTTTAGTGGATGATCATCTACAGAAATCGGCAGAATCTCACAAATAAATAGTGGACTAGAGTATGATCAGTTTTATCATGATTGTCTGATAGTTGTGCAATGAATTTTATGTAAATCACCACCCAGTTCCTTCCCTTATATACACCATTCGCTCTTATAATCTCATACTAGGAATTGACAGAAGCACTCCAAAATGACATCCATGATTGACCATCAAACCACATTAACTGTGACCCGACTTGACTGAATTAGTCACTACACTGGAGCTGTCCCAAATTAAAGAATTTCTAATGGATATGATCAGTTTAAAATACCATGCTGTAAGATAACTTGGACTAAACTGTACAATAATGTAAATGTAAAAAGTGTAAAGTAAAAAAATGCATGGTGTTAGTATGATGTTGGCAAAAACATAATGCCTAGATCTTGATGTATTAAGGGGTTGTTACCTGTAGGGGGAGGCAAAACTCTACAAATCTGGTTAGTGGCAGATAAAAAAATAGACGTGTGTGTGTGTGTGCGTGTGTGTGCGTGCGTGTGTGTGTATGTACAGTGGGTACGGAAAGTATTCAGACCCCCTTCAATTTTTCACTCTGTTATATTGCAGCCATTTGCTAAAATCATTTAAGTTAATTTTTTTTCCTCATTAATGTACACACAGCACCCCATATTGACAGAAAAACACAGAATTGTTGACATTTTTGCAGATTTATTAAAAAAGAAAAACTGGTATGTATGTGTATAGAGAGAGAGTTTGTCCTTTTTATATAATATATAAGAAATATAAATTGTAAATATGTATATGCTTTTGCAACTAAATAACTTGGTCTCCTTTTCATCTTCTCTTTAAGATGCTTCATGACTGTCCCAAAGCTAGGCTAGAAGTGGAGCTACACTGGCGAGCCTCCTCATGTACCCACATCGTCAGGATTATTGACGTCTATGAGAATCTGTACCAAAACAGGAAGTGCCTTCTTATTGTAATGGAGTGGTGAGTCATCAACTTCATCATCTTTTGCTTCTTCAGTATAGAGATCAAAATGATCAGTTTTTTGTAGTCTTTTCTATATTTCACTTCCTTTTTGGACAACTTTCCATTTATAAGCAATTTATAATTCTGTGAATATGGATGTTCCATTCATAAACGGTTCACCTGGAGCAACCCTAGATTAGGTTCTTAGTTTCATGGTAAATGCTGATCAGGCATCTTTATTTCCTGGATCATCCCAACTTGGTATTAAACCTGCGATTTTTGCTGTTGTGGCCCTTATTCTTAACCATCCGGGCTGTAAAACTGCCAGATTATTAAAATCATCAGGCAAGTTAAAGGAGCTTGACTTAAAGCGTTTTTTTTTATATAGAAGTAGAGTCATTATTATGGGAACAGAAGTCGATTTTGTTTCATTAGTAACATTTGGGCAATTACAGTTTGAGTATAGACATTTCATGAGCAATATAATGACTTGACATTTGCAGTGCACCCAGCATTGTGTCTGTTTGTGTCCTGAATTGCATTGTCATAAAAGCCTTGATTCATTTAGTTACTCTTTTTACACAGCCCCTTAACTCATTTGTAATGTTTTGCCGAGGTTTCAGTGCCTCATCTGTGTAAATAGTTTACCAGCAGGTGTTTGGAGGTTACTTACGGTAAACACTCATACACCTATGTGCCCCTTTCACGTTTGAGAAAATTCAGAAGTCCCCTGTCTGATGACGTATCTCCTTATGTGGTGACCATTCTTCATATAGACTATATTTGCATTTATACTATAGTTGCATAACCAGACACTGTTGTTTCCCTCACTTGCAACATGTATGCTAGCAGGTACCATCCTTCTCTGCTTACCACCATTGTGCGCTCCTTAGCAAGGCAGTTGAACCCAGGTTGCTTGACTGGGACGGTCCCTGCTGTAATCAAAATGCAAGTCGCATGGATCCGAGTTCTCGTATAATGACGCAAAATAATAATGTTTTGGTTAAGTCTGCAATAGACTACTTAAATTGCAAACTACTGATATGATTATTTAAAAGAGTTCAGGGAAGAGAGAATGGCATTGCTGTGAAAGTGTTTTAGTACAGGTCATATGGTTCGTCAACATTTATAGATCTATTTATTTATTAGATCTATCAGTCAGTTCAGTCAGAGAGTTCCGAGTTAACTGAAACATTCACAGAAACTTGCTAACTCCAATACAGTTTTGCTTTCGAAATTTAAACTTGAGACGTTATAAAAACATCTTAAAGGTGACATATCATGAAAATCTGACTTATCCAGGTTTTAAGTGCTATAATAAGGCCCATGGTGCATCTACCAACCAAGGAAACGTGAAAAAGATTAACTCAGTAACTTTGTTTTGGTAAGCCTTTTTCTGCAAGCGTCTGAGAAAAGGAGCGCGTCTGATTTCGCTCCCTTGGTAACGTGGCTAAGGGATCTCATTATAATATTACCACCCCTTAATCTGTAAATGTAATACACCCACAGTGCCGTCATTGTGTTTTCGCAAGCGACAACGGTGTACCAGTTCTAATGCCATGGCGAAAGTTTGAGCAAAACATGCTAACTGTTCTGTCTTTGGCTGCACAGACGAGCACAGAACACTATTTAGAGTCCCAGCCTCAGAGGAGACAAGAGAGCAGTGGATTTATTGATTTATTTAATGTATATTGCTGCTGCCACACAGATCTAAAATAAAACCGCGATTTATTTCCCAGCAGTTTACCTTCACAGACATAACCAACTGTTTTTGTAGCTCATGTGTGTTTTTAACGTAAACTTGTGTGTGAATGAGAACTTAGTTTAGTACTCACATGCTGTGACAGCCGCTTTCTGTCCGTGTGCTTCGGATGTGTGCTCTCAGAAACCCGTATATCAGAAGTTTAAACACATATGGTTTAAAACGCATGATTTCAGCACGATAAACATGATAATCAGAACCAAAACAGATGTTTTTTTTAGCAGGTATGAGCTGTAATGGCGCAGCTCTATTCTGGAAGAGGGAGCGGGGAGCAGCAGCTCATTTGCATTTAAAGAGACAGGCCCGAAAAACAGTGTTTCTGCTTCCACTCAAAATAGGCATTTTCAAAATGATATAATAAATGATCTATGGAGTATTTTGAGCTGAAACTTCACTGACACATTCTGGGGACACCAGAGACTTATATTCTATATTGCCTGGATGAAATCTCCAACAGGTTGAATTGTTTGATGTACCATTTGTACAGAGGTAATGTGTTTGTCGTGAAATGCAATCTTACATCAAATTTTTTTTTATTTTCAGCAAAAAATTATTGTCATCATGATATATTTTCTTATCGTGGAATAAAATTACTCATATACTCATAAGACTGAATAAAAATATTACTCATAAGACTGTATAAGATATAGGCTTTTGGTCATATCGCCCACCTCTAATTTGAATATTCTATATATATCCCCCAGACTGTGCACTAAATACATAATATTTTCAGAGTATTATTTAGTATTGCTTCCTAAGTCAATTTGTGACACCATCTTGTCTAGTTTCAACATGATTTGGCTATCTGAAATGCATGCTTTCACTGAAAACATCAAAGTGATGTGCTTGTGACATTTCCATTCAAGTGTTTGATCTTGAACTCACACACCTATGTTGTATCAGATATGATGATGTGAGTATCAGAAATCACACCTCCTATTTTCCATTTCTTTGATTTGATCATTCTCATGGTGTCACATATGTGCTGACTCACACATTTTCTTTACCGCCTGTTTTGTAGGAAGTCAAAAACTTTGTTTGTCACCACTGTTGTTTACCAGCAGATGTGAGCTTATGTGAATTTTTAGGGTGAGGATTCTTAGAGTTTAGAATTTAAGTGTTTATATATATATATATATATATATATATATATATATATTTATATATATATTTTTTTTTGTATTGTCAAAAGTAAAAAATTTAAAGACACTGACTATCAATGCGATGACAACTGATAGTTTTTGTGCTATAAAAGGTTACCGATCTTTTTAGCGGAACCCATTTTGATGGAAGGTCGACTATATGCATAGTGTGGAGGTTGGTCACACCCTTGTATTCTGCACAAATGTTGAGTTTGCGAAATGTCTTCATCTAAATGTACCAAATAACAGAGAGGAGGTCACTCTGTGTTTCTACTTCTGTGACCTCTCCTTCCTGTACATTTCCTTATTTCTGCACGATAAAATCTTATGTACATTCCTAACTTCTTTAATATTCCTTTTTGAAATTAATTTTGACCATTTTGACTCTTTGCATGTCACAGATGCTCTTTGTTTGATAGGTGCAAAAATAAATCAATACATTCCTTTTCTTCTGCTTTGCAGTCCATTGTCTCCTATTAAGAGCATTGTTTCATGGATGATGCAAGATTTCATGCATCATTTTGATGTAAGAGACTCATAGGGAAGTGTAGTGTTTTTTAGAAACCGTTGATTCTTTCTCTGTTTGTAAGATGGAAATGAGTGTGTGAGGAGATTCCAGACATGAGTGATAGTGTGGTATCAGTGGCTCTTGGGGTATCATTAACGTCTTATAGAATCATCCATATATAACTGCTGGTAGTCATAATGCAAATATTAAAATAAGCTGGTTGAAGGTATATCATAGATTGCAAAGATCATGAATTAATTACAAGAAATCAGGCCAGAGACATCCAGCTACTCAGCACGCAGGAAACAGAATCTACAGGTCATCAGAACTGAGTGTGCGGCAGGTGATGGAAATGGAAAATGCCAACACTGATGTTCAGCTTCAAATATGGCTTTTCTAAGAAAAGTTACACATAGAAATTATGGTACAACCCAACCCTTCAGTGTTGCTTTAGTGTTTTGTACCATAAATCATATGCTTTTGACATTTCAACGCTTAAGCTTGACACTTTTTTGGCACATTCAGCTATAGTATATAATATATCGACTGTCGGATAGGACACGAAGCGTCTGGCTGAAAGCAGTAAAATGTGATGTGGTTGTTCATAGCCCCTATCTCACAGTGAGTTAGGCTTTTTCAGTCAAACTCATACAGTGTTATTTCTGTCGGGCTTTTGATGATTTCACCTGAAACTGACTGCAGTTCTAGGTGAGCTGTAGAAATAAAACTCGCCCTGCACACTGTGGCCCATAGTGGAGATGTGAGAACAGCATGATTCTTCGCGTTTACATATATGTACATGGTTATCAGCAGTTTGCACCCCCTTTCACACATTCTCATGCTTTATCATTACAGTAACGGATGTGCTAGCAGCACGTTAAGTAGACTAAGAGTTTTTAACCCCCCCCCAATCTTCCTCATTTCTGATGAGAGACAGAAAGTCTTTCTAAGCCCACTGACCCAATTTCTCGCAACTGGCAAGTTTTCAAGAAATGGAGCTCACCCGACTTGCACACCTAGCAGTGGTTTGCGTATAATCGGAAATGATAACCACAATGATGACATAGGGACAACGGTGAAAGGTCCCCCCTTTATGTGTGTGGTGTTTAATGCATTTGTTTGTACAAAGTAATTTTTTGTGAGTTTTAGCACGTATACATCTGGCACTCCGAAATCATTTGAACTCTCAATGCTTTTAGAGGAAACATTGCCATAGCTTCCTGTCGCCATTTCTATTTCAAATCCACTGTTGTACATTGATTCAGAAATGTGATGGTTAATAATAATAATAATAATAGTAAATGGCCTTGTATAGTAAATACATCTTGCACTTTTCACTTAATGTTATTACATAATAGTTTAATATCTTTAATAATTTTTTTTTTTTTTTTTTTACAATTTTAATATTCTTTTTTTCTCCACTAATACGATGTTACTTGATATATTTTGTGATATGTCAGCTGATTTTTGCTTTATGCATTTGTTTTGAAGCATGGATGGTGGTGAGCTGTTCAGTCGGATTCAGGACAGAGGGGACCAGGCATTTACTGAGAGAGGTACCGGCATTGTCTACTCTCTTTTCATAGTGTATATAAATATGTTTAAGAATGTCAAAATAATAAATAGGCCCTTTTGCCACAATACTTAATTCAATATTTTAATTGTATTCTTGTTCTGTTGGCTTTTCAGAGGCTTCTGATATCATGAAGAGTATAGGAGAGGCCATTCAGTATTTACATGCAATAAACATCGCACACCGAGACGTCAAGGTAATAATCTTATGATGACCAATATTGATGAAATTAATGAAAATGATTTTGCCTTCATGGTTTTCTTAACTGAATATGACTGAAAATCCACTTTGCAGCCAGAAAACCTCTTATATACCTCTAAAAGGTCCAACACCCTTCTCAAACTGACAGACTTTGGGTTTGCAAAAGAGACAACCTCACACAACTCTCTGGCCACCCCTTGCTATACTCCTTATTATGTTGGTAAGAATATGAGAATTATCAGTAAGCAGGTGTCAGGATGGCCATTTGATCCCACTCATAAAACCTTTCCATTTGTAAGTATTTTCATCTTTTTCATGTTATAGCCCCAGAGGTTCTTGGTCCAGAAAAGTATGACAAGTCCTGTGACATGTGGTCTTTGGGTGTCATCATGTATATTCTGTAAGTGAATCTGTCTCGTATGTTGTGCATACACCATTTTTCTCTGTCTAGGCCTCTATTTAAATGGGTTTTGTCACTCTTGACCTTGTAAAGTGTGTCTGATATATTGCAACTCTCACTTTATTCAACTTCCAGGCTCTGTGGTTACCCACCTTTCTATTCCAACCACGGATTGGCTATATCCCCTGGTATGAAGAAACGAATCCGCATGGGACAGTACGAGTTTCCAAATCCTGAATGGTCGGAAGTTTCAGAGGAAGGTATTTGGCAAGTTCCTGTTTTGTAAAAGCAACTTGAGAAATCGTTCTTAGAATGCTGTTATCTTCAAGTCATTCGTTTCGCGTGTTTCTTTCTAAGAATGATTATAGATTTGAGTGACTCACTCTTCCTATTTTTGTAGCGAAGCAACTCATCAGAACATTACTGAAAACTGAGCCGACACAAAGGATGACCATCACAGAGTTTATGAACCACCCCTGGATCAATGTGAGTGATTATTAGCATTATTTTATGCATTCTGTGTTGATCTAGACAAATGGGTTTCCTTGGTACATTATATTTGACTTACTATGTTATATGGTTATTTACGTGGCTATAGCAATCAATGGAGGTACCACAGACCCCCCTACATACTAGCCGTGTTCTGAAAGAAGAGAAAGACACATGGGAGGATGTCAAGGTGAGGCCTCCCACAACAAAAAAGTCTTCTCAGAACATCTGACATTTTTTTTGCAGTCACTGCACCTCAGATCCATATCTTCATTCTGTTTAATGCTGCTATGTCTGTGTTCCACAGGAAGAAATGACTAGTGCCTTGGCAACAATGAGAGTTGACTATGAGCAAATCAAAATCAAGAGGATTGAAGACTCGTCCAATCCACTGCTGATGAAGAGGAGAAAGAAAGCCAACAATATAGCTCCTGAAAACGAGACGCCCGCTTGCTAAGGACACATTCACTCTGTAGCACATGCACACACACATTTTACACTCGTACATCAGTTGAAAAGTTTGATTTAAGGAAGCAATATCTCAACAAAGAAGTTAAAGCAAGAGATTTTTTTTAATATTTGTTTTTAATCACTCAACATCTGTAACTAATACACCACTTCGCTACCAAAAGAAAGTGGCTGTACAATTATGATACAAGACTATACATTTTGGAGTTGTGAAGCAGCCGACGTCCACTAATTTGCTCCTTAAAGTGTTCACAAATACTGTTTTTCACATGGTGTTTAGTGGGGTAATCAGAAACCTAAGTTAGTTACCTTTTGCGTTTTATTTTTTTCCTTTCTCTCCTTTTTTTAATCAAAAGTCATTGGTACATGAGTTCATGAGTTAAACACACTTAACTGTTTGAATCATGTTCCATTCTGAGTTATGGGACGGCTCAAAATAAGTTGCCCTGTATTAGAATGATTATTCAGTTTCTTTCCTTCTGCTCATGTTCTGAGGAGCCTATGCATAGTGCTAGCTTTGCTGTTTGTTCTTAAATGCTCTTTTGCAGTAAAAGACCGTTCTGGTGTCCAGATGAAAATGTATTTTTGAAATGACTCTTTGAATGTAGACGCACTCTGTTCTTTACTGTAAAAATGTCTGTCAGTATTGTTCAGGGTCCTGTCAAGTAAAATACAAGATCTTTTTTGAGCTTTAGATCCAACTAGCCTTATGCTGGTCTTCAGATTGAGAGGAAAACAGCATATATTGCCCTTCTTTCTCATTGGTTTTGATCAGGCTTACCATGGAAAGCCAGTCCAACACATTGTTTTAGCCCTCTGCTTGCTCAATGATACACATATTGCACATCGTTTTGGGTGCACAATGATTTGCCTTGAATCGATCCTATGCATATTTGTTTTCAACTAGTTTTTCCTAGTTGAATGTTAACCCATGCTCTGGTATTTCATTTCACAAATACCTACTAAAAAACAGTAGACGTAGTCTGCTGGTTGTTAACCCACCACCTTGAACCGCAAAGCCCGTTTGTATTTTCTTAAGTGTGTAATGAATGAATTATGAAATGGGATCTTTGTGAAGGTGATAGTTCTTCATGACTGTGGAATGAATATATGCGATAGCCGTCGAATGTGCTCTTCATTATGCCAGTGCATTTTTTTTGTTGTTGTGTCTGTTCAATGCCTACCATGCAGTAAGTGTTTGAATGCACCTATTGAGAGCAGCTTATAGGTACCAGGTGTTAAAGGAACAAAGAAATGCCCCCTTGGCTTAAGGCCTCGTGTTCTGGCAATTTTTAAGGGATGCAGGGAATCCTATGCATCCTGCTGACTGATTTATAGCTGCACTGATTGACATATGCTGAAAGGTTGTATCTTTTATTTTTCTATATAGTTTTTTTAAAACTGTATATTCATGTTTGTTGTGTGATTAATCATCTTTTTAAGGACATGATTTAATGCTCACAATGTTGAACATGCAGAGTCGGTATACTCCCAAACAGCAGATAACTCCTTAATGATTTCAGTGCCCCTCTTGCAAATAACTAATCTTTTTCGGAAACTGTTTGCAGTTTCTTTGATAGCCACTTTGTAGGATCTTTTCCCTTCCCCATACATTCATTTCTAAAGGCGAAGACTACAATATCATCAAAGTTGAAAAGCAGACTAGAATTCCCACAGAATTTAATACTAACAAGGGAAAGGCAGATACGTGTCCTGTTTTTAGTGTTTAACTGCTGTAATTATTTCTTGGTCTGCTTCAACTTTGGATTAAAACACCTAAAAACCCAACTGTTTGCGTCTCATTTAAATGAAGGATTATGTTAAGACCATTTCTAGTATGAACAAGTTCTGAACTGTATTTACAGAAGTGTTTGTGGAATATGTTAATGTTCTCATATTAACTTGTCAAATATCTTTCATTCACTTTAGGAAATTGATCATGAATATGATATAATTCAGTTCTCATAGTCCCAAACCAAGTAATAAAATGCAGATATGAGATCTAAAAATTCTTTATTCTTAACTAATTTCATCTTTTCTTACCCTTTATTAACCTTTCTCACACTGATGGGATCCTCTCTTTTTCATAATGCAATATTTTCTTTAATGGTAGAGGAACGTTAACATTCCTAACAGTCATCATTCCCCCACCACCCCCTTTATGCTAATAGAACTGTGTTAGATTTATTAATAGGTTCTGCAGCTGATGGAAAAAAGATAAAGATAAACCTGAATGACAGAAAATAAAAATTTACTCAAGAGCTAAGTGAAATCGAAGAGGCAACAGATCAGTTTTGTTTGTGAATAATTAGAAAACATCTCATTGCTCAGAAAGGATAGTGGTAGTGGGCTAGTGAGTTTCCTAATAAATATAGTTTTAGGTTTAATTTTACTGTTTGGGGAAACACCTAGCATGCACAGTATTGAGGGATGGCTTACATTGCAAAATGTGACTAAGTAGAGTCAACAGCAGCACCAGTATTTTGAAAGAGCCACTAAAGATGTCGACTCTTCGATTTCACAACCCAGATTCAGAAGAAGCGAAAAACAGTCACTACAGTGGGTATAGAAAAGAAACACCCCCCGCCCCCTGCCTCCTTTAAAATAATCACATTTTGTTGCTTTGCAGCCTGAAATGAAGAGACACAGTTTGTTTTATCCAGCTGTATTTACTCAGTGCAACGTATATCATCCAAGTGGAAGATATAACACCAACACGTCAGAAAAAAATAAAAAAACTGAATCACTGAGTTGGAAAAAGGATCACTCCCCTCCTAAAAATGACTTGTAAACTCAATCAGGTGTAGCTAATCACCTTCTCAATGACTCACAAAGCCATTTGACTTTCAACTGTGATCAGCTGTGGTCATTTCGATCAGCTCAGCATGAAAATATCTTTCCTGGAGCATGTCAGTCCTTGATAGTGCAACTGAAGCAAACAATCAACTATGGGTGGTGAGGCACTATCAAAAGAACTCTGGGATAAAGTTGTGGACAGGCACAAGTCAGGAGATGGATACAAAAAAAATTCAAAGGCTTTATCAATGCCAAGAAGCACAGTGAATTCTATTATTAAGAAGTGGAAGGTATTTGGTACAACACAGACCCTCCCTGGATCAGGACGTCGCTCCAAACTGAACACACCTCGAAGATTCTGATGCAGATGAGACTAAAATTGAATTATTTGGCCTCGACACCAAACGATAGGCTATGTCTGGTGGAAATCCAATACCGCTCACCATCTAAATAACAGCATTCCTACAGTAAAGCATGGAGGTGGTAATGTCCTGTTAAGGGGGAGTTTCTCTGCAGCAGGGACTGGAGCACTTGTCAGGATAGAAGGAGAAATGGATGGGCC